TGCAGTATTTATTAGTGTATACAGCTATTTCAATTAAAGTTGTCCACGAGCAAAGCGGAATAGTCGAATACGAGCGCGAAAGGCTGCTGGGAACCGCTTTGAAAATTCATTAATTAATGAATTTTCAAAGCGGTTCCCAGCAGCCTTTCGCGCTCGTATTTGACTATTCCGTTTTGCTCGTGGACATCCTTAATTGAAATAGCTGTATGTACTCTTTGACATTCGCTCAAACACTCACTGTATACACTAGTCGCTAACTATATACACGTTTGGTTATATAGGCTGCAGAATATACACAAATATCCTACATATCTATAGTGTATACATATACATAATATACAGGCTATTCTGTATATATATACACTCTATATACTATTTATACTAATTATACATTACAATACTCAAAAGATATAAACTCCAATCTTTCAGTGTGGTGTTCGTCCAGGTCAGAAAATCTTCATAAGTCAGACTTTCTTCTGGCTGTCTTGTCCAATTCGTTCACTGGCGCACGAGAAATATTTTTAATTTCCTCAAAGAGAATAGAGCTGTCGAAAATACTTTTTCACAAGCGGCGATCTGTATTTCTCGGCGAAGCGAAGCTATCAACTGCAATGCGACACCACTGATAACAGGTTTTGAAGCGACAAAATAGCACCGGCAAGGCGCACGAGATATCAAATTACATGTTCGCATTATGTTCAGCGAAAATTTCATCCATTTCGGGTGTTAAATCTCGAAGCAACCAAATGTTTTCATATACACGCTGACATGTAAACAATACTAAACTATAATAAACAGCTCGCAAAACGTCCCAACGAACTCGCAATATTTTAACACTTCCAGGCCTTTGATTCGGATGAAAACCTGTACAGACATCAGAAAATACCCAGAAATTGATCACAACTTATAAAATTGAACGATTCTTTAATATTTTTGCAGAAATTCAACAATTGTGCAAATGTAATTTTCCCACTCCTAATAGGAAATAGTATGGGAAATGGCGCTGGCCGCACGCTCGCCCCAATGTGTTTGCACCCCCTGAGCCAATGGCGTCGGAAACCTTGAATCCCCCTATTAACTCGCATCTTATATTGCTCCATTGTTATAACTGTAAAATGGAAATTTTTCTCCGGGGCACAGGCATGCAAAAAGAGGCGATGGTCGTATAATGTCTGTGTTAAATAACGATGGCAGCTATGAACTATTTAATAGACATACATGTGTTCGACTTTGTTTATATCACAGGCTCCGACAACGGGAAAATGTTAATGTATTTAGCTTTAACTTGTTATATAAAAACCTAATTACATAAGACGTATACTTAATTATTTTGTCTTCAATATTTAAGCCCTTCAACCCAAGCATAGGCGTATAAGCATCAAGCACTATGACAATCCTAGCATAAGCCTTTTTAGTGTGAAGTTTCTTCGAAACCTCACAGTATTGTGATGACTGGGGGGAAATTCAAACGAAACAGTCAGTCATTCAGTCAGTCATTCATTCATTCATTCATTCATTCATTCATTCATTCAGTCATTCGTAAACTTTCCGGGGGGTGTATATGGTATATGTTCGTAGTGATTTATCGTACTTAGTCTGTGCTTTGAAGGTTATTTAGGCAATTTCAGTTGTCTTATTTAAATATTCTTTAAGCCTTTTGTCAAGTTTTGCCAAGTTTACAAAAATTTCGAGGAATTGTTGTCGTTATTGTAAATTTTATAACATGCGCTTCTCATGTTGTGTAAAGGATCTTTACCCCGGAACACCCGATTTTTTCTTTAGCAGCGCAAATGCGCATGCGCTATCAAGCCGTAGATCACGATGGCGTGACGATGCTAGGAAGGAGCGAGACAATGTTGTTTTGAAATGTATAAACATTTCAGACATGAATATTGAGTAAATCTTCGAGAATCTACGCAATATATAAATTGATGCTATGCATTCAATTAAGTGCCGATATTATTTAGACGGTATATTCATTTTACAGAGCTAGCAAGGAGCTAGGACAGTGCTTTTATTCAAGTGTATATATTATTATTAAACATTTTAGACGTAAATATTGAGTCGAAAATCTTTGAGATTCTAGGCATTCAATTGAGTGCCGATATTATTTTCACGGTATACCCATTATACAGAGGCAGGAAAGAGCGAGAGAGTGTTGTTTTCAAATATATAAACATTTCAGACATGAATATTGAGAAAATCTTTCAGATTCTACGCAATATATAAATTGATGACGTTATGCATTACCGGCGCCCAATTAAGTGCCAGAAGATATATTGTTTAGGCCGTGTATTCATTAATTATACATTGGCCACATTGGCTGTATAAGGTGCTACACCACAGAATAGATGGCTACACTCAGTACAAAGAGGCGAAAGAGCGAAAAATTGCATAAGACATAGCGTAAACAACTATTAAACAGAAGCGGGTGTTCGTATGGCGTTTACGAAGAAAATAACTTGAGTTGTGATCGAGACTAAAAGAAATCAGTTGAGTCTGCAGAGCTCTTTATTTAAACAAGAAAGACGAGGAGTTTATATAGCCAACGTGTTATTGCCAATCGCTTGGCTTGCCAACAAGCTTTATGCAATAGAAGAAAAATAGGTACGCACTGCGTACATGTGACTAGTCTCTCCTTTGGGAGAGAAAATTGGAATTCATATCACAACACACCAGCCCAATGTCTGTATTGTGTTGAATTTAAAAAAATTATGGCGGTATCGTGAATATTTAAGAATTATAAAACATCTTTCTGCGTTGATATAAAGTTATATAAAGACTATAATGAGTTTTGTGGAAACACGATGCCCGACGGGCGAGTGTTTTCAGTCATAATAATAAACTGAGTAGACTCGATGCATGCCCGAGCGCCACGCGCGAGGGTAAAAATTTCAACATGCATTTTTGGCTGCTATGATTAAACTAATTAAAGACATTAAAAATGCAATACATTTGACCTTGATAACTTTCGTATTGTTGGTTTTCTCTTTTCAGCCGTATACCAGTGGATTCGTCTCACTTTTCTCTTTATTTTGTTAGTAGTTTGAGCCCAAAATATTATAATTTGAAGGTTTTAATGTACAGTTTTAATAAGCGAAATTGTATTGTTGACAAATCACTCAAAATGATTAAACTAATTATAAAAATGCAGTCCGTTTGATCCTTGATAACTTCGGAATTGTTGGTTTTCTCGTTTTCGGCCGTATGCAAGTGAATTCGTCTCACTTTTCTCCTCATTTTGATAGTATTTTGAGTTCAAAATATTTTATTTTGAAGGCTTTAAAACGCAGTTTTGATCCTAACGTACGGACCAACTGGCGGCCGACAGGAAAATGTGTAGCGTGCTAAATATAACTTTACTTGTGCATGTAGGCGGAAACGCCGAAAGTTTTATTTGTAGGCGGGCACCGCATTTTAGTACTGTGTCTGGTTCTGTTTTAATTTTCTTTAATATAATATAGCTAACATGCATGAAAAGAATGTATATGCAAGTCTGCTACTGCAATTACCTGCAATGATAATACCCATATTACCGTATTAATAGTATATACTTCAAAATATTCAATTAATGTTCTGTCAACTTCAATATACTATAAAGTACATATAAAAGGAATGACACTTATAAGTGAAACAAACATATGGTTTGCTAAAAACCAACTTGAAATATGTCGAGAATATTCTAAAGAAAACATCAGTAACTACTTTGTTTGATACTTTGATTGTTTCTACTTTAAACGCTACACTTCAGTAATATTGTCAATAGTTGCTTAGTGGTGAATTCAATATCGGGCTAGCCACAAAAAAGCAAGGAGGTAGCCAAAATGTACCGTCACGGACTTACTTTGTGTAGTGTCTAGCACAACGTCAACAGTGCAAACTCGTGTTCAGTGCAACGATAACTCTACCAGATCCTACGAGAATCAATCTGTACACAGAGCCGTTAGGTATCAAAGCTTGTTAAAACTGCTATAAACACTGCTATAACTGTGAAACTATTGAAATCTAAAGTGACATTATTGAATACATGCGAAAAGCTGAAAATGACTCATGAAACGCAATGTGACATTGCCATTGAGAATATAAAGTCAAAGTTCAATCAGACTTGTTATTGTGAAACATGTCACAATTAGGGGCCGATTACATGGAGAGTTTTCAACCCGGGCTAAATTTCAGCCCGGTTAACCGAGTTGAAATAGCATCACGATTACATGGGCAATTTGAACCCGGGCTGAGTTTTAGTCAGAGCTATATTTATCCCTTGTAGTAAACAAACCTGGGCTGAAATGTCATCCCGGCTGAAATCATACGATATCACGAAAGGCAATATTCCGCTTGTTTGAGCATTAGTCGACTATTTGATTTGTGTAAGACTGTGGTTGCATATAAAGTATTAAAGATGAGACGAAACGCGAAATAAAGCCATTTAAACGATTGTTTTTTTAGCCCGCGCTGAAATTATTTGCGATTACATGGGATATTTCATCCCGGTTGATAGAGCTGAAAATCTCATCCCGGGTGACATAAACCGGGGTGAAATTTTATAGGGGTCCCGGGCTGAAATTTCATCCCGCCGGTTTGCCGGGCTGAAATTTCATCCCGGGCTGAAAACCTCCATGTAATCGGCCCCTTAGATCAGTGGTCATAATTAGGTTAAAATGCGGAAGCGGATGGAGCGGATCCACGGAACGGATATGGGGATAAAATATAGAACGGATGGGGATAAAATGCGTTCTTTTAATGATACAACGTCGTAGTGCTTATTATTCATAACATATTTTATACAGCTATTTGGGTGATGGGAATAATCATATTAGATAAGTTCAGCGTATCAGTAGCCTCGTTAGGATGCTTTTAGCGAAAGCTGCAAATGCAAATGCAAATGAAGTTTTAGAATATGCAAAATTTGGGTGTTGGTGAAACAATTTAAATTTCGAGTTGTCGCGTGTGGCATCACAATAAATAAATAAATTGTATCAGTTCCACGAGGCACGTTTCTGATCAGTTAGGCTTGTTTCAAACGTGGCGCTACTCGTGTGCCGAACGCATTATAAAATAGATAATGAGATGAAATGCCTTTGGTAAACTGTTTATTTCGTAGTGTATATAAGCCATCAGCCTTTCTAGGTTGTCGGCAACCCTATATAGTTCTTGCAGTGTCTTTTTCAATTTGAAACTTCACACTATCCTTGGATCCCTAGTTTAATTTATAGCCTTACAAAACGTATTAGCAATCTGCAGACCAATTAAGATTACGAAATAAAACCTAATTCATAAGTCAAAAGTCCTGTTATTCCTGCCTATACCAAAACGTTTCCTTAGCGGGACAAAATTTGTCATACTATATGAAATATATACAATGTAGTAAACAATGTAGTTCTATAAATAGCGCTGCAAAGCTTGTACATTTCAACACGCAACACAAATATTTTAGCGATTGTGATTCGTTGTATAGAGAAAAACCACTGTATATAATATACAGTACACTTTTTGTGAAACAAAGACTTTAATCAATATATATTGTTAAATTGTATTTACCATTTGGTACATACTCCCCGTGCGTTCGAAAATATCCAATATTGGCAATAATCAACAAAGTTTATACAAGAAGAAAAGGTTGATATTACTAAGTTATGCAAGTCCCGCAGTTCCGTTGTCGGCTGTTCCGCTAATTAGTCATATCCCTGCGTGGCCATGGGCCCATTTCGTATATTATGTGTGAATCATAATAAATATTTTATTATCATATATACGATACACTCGATTTTGCTGTTATAGCCATTGCTTTATGAACATTTGTCATATCAACTTTGCACTATCCTTGGGATCTCTGATTTTAATATTGGGATCTATCCTTGGGATCTCTCATTTCCAAACTTGGCATTGTCCATCCCCATGGTATTTTTGCTATATTTCCTTTTATCTGTCGACCTTCATATTTGCGCTCGTGTATTTCTATTGTACTTTTAATATATCTTTATCATGTACATTTATTGTTTACACTTTGTTTTGACTAAATTAATCTTGTTTTTATCACGTGATCCCTTTTGTATTCTCTAGTATGAAAGCACATGTTTTTCCGAACCTATATTATCAACGTCCAGAAAAACGACCTTTTTTAGTGTGAAGTTTCTTCGAAAGTATAGTGATGAGTGGCGAAAATTCACACGAATCAGTCAGTCAGTCAGTCAGTCAGTCATACAGTAAACTTTCCGGGGGGTGTATACGATTTTTGTTCGTAGTGATTTATTGTACTTAGTGCTTTGAAAGTTATTTAGGCAATTTTCTTATTTAAATATTCTTTTATCCTTTTGCCAAGTTCACAAAAATTTCGAGGAATCGTTTTCGTTATTCAAGCCGTAGATCACGATGGCGTGACGATATGCTAGGAAGGAGCGACAGTGTTGTTTTCAAATGTATAAACATTTCAGACGTGAATATCGAGTACATCTTTGAGAATCTACACAATATATAAATTGATGTTATGCATTACCCGGCATTCAATTAAGTGCCGATATTACTTAGACGGTATATTCATTATACAGAGCTAGGAAGGAGCGAGACAGTGTTGTTTTCAAATATATAAACATTTCAGACATGAATATTGAGAAAATCTTTGAGATTCTACGCAATATATAAATTGATGTTATGCAATTAATACCGGCATTCAATTAAGTGCCCATCGATGTTATTTAGACCGTGTATTCATTATACATTGACTGTATAAGGTGCTACACCACAGAATAGACGGCTACAGCCTACACTCAGTACAAAGTCAAAGAGCGAAAAATTGCATCAGATCAATAAAGCGTAAACAACTATTAAACAGAAGCGGGTGTTTGTATGGCGTTTTAATACGAAGAAAATAACTTGCGAGACTAAAGAAATCAGTTGAATCAGAGCTCTTTATTTAAATAACAAGGACGAGGAGATAGCCAACGTGTTATCGCCAATCGCTTGGCTCGCCAACAAGCGTTATGCAGAAGAAGAAAAAAGCAAGGAGGTAGCCAACGTGTACCGTCACGGACTGTCTAGCACAACGGTGCAAACTCGTGTTCAGTGTAACGATAACTCTACCAGATCTGATCTTACGAGAATCAATCTGTCTGTACACAGAGCTGTATCAAAGCTTGTCAAAACTGCTATAAACACTACTATAACTGTGAAACTATTGAAATCTAAAGTAACATTATTGCATACATGCGAAAAGCTGAAAATGACTCATGAAACAGAACCACAGTGGTCAAAGGTCAATGAGACTTGTTATTGTGAAACATGTCACAATTAGGTTAAAAAGCGGATGGAGCGGATCCACGGAGCGGATATGGGGATAAAATACGGAACGGACAGGAATAAAATGCGTCTTTTAATGATGTAACGTCGTAGTGCTTATTATACATAACAGGGCGTTGTTAAAACCCGGAATGACGGAATACGGCGGAATATCACGAAATATGCCGAAATATCACGGAATATGCCGGAATATCACGACATTTTCCGATGATAGCCATGCGATTGTTTATAAACATGGACGTCTGACAACATATTTTATTACAAAAGTGATGGATCTTTCCCATTTTGACGGTAAGTAACAAACAATAACTATATACTGGAAGTTTTATGTGTTGTTTATATCATTATTACGAGTGTTCACCAAAAATTTTGAATCAGTACGATTAATTCCTCCAGAGTTTATACAGCGTCTTGAAAAATAAAAGTGCTGACGTCAGCATTATTTTCGAACCTTCCGAACTGTGATATACACAATTTAGTTGCAAATTCTTGGTTAAATTAAGGTTAAGACGTGACTTCTTACCTGATATAAACAAGAATTTAAACATCTTGGCTCAAACCTTGGCTTAAACTGGCCTTTATTTTAGCATTTGATTTGGGGGTGGTAGCTATAAAAATTAAAATGGCCATTTTTTAATATACCACCAAGCTTTGTCCAAAAATCAAATGCTAAAATAAAGCCAGGAAAGTTTGAGCCAAGATGTTTAAATTCTTGTTTATATCAGGTAAGAAGTCCTGTCTTAACCTTAACCAAGAATTTTTAACTATTTAAATTTTGTGTGTATATGACAATTCAGAAGGCGTTCGAAAATAATGTTGACGTCAGCACGTTCATTTTTCAAAACGCTGTAACTCGTAATAATGATGTAACTTGGTGAACACTCGTAATAATGATATTTAAATCAGTATATATCAACATACAAACCTTCCAGTGTAGAGTTATTGTTTGTTACTTACTGTCAAATGGGGAAAGATCCATCAATTTTGTAATAAAATATGTTTTCAGACGTCCATGTTTATAAACAGTCGCATGGCTACCATTGGAAAATATCGTGATGTTCGGGTATATTCCGGGAAAATGTCGTGATATTCCGTGATATTCCGCCATATTCCGTAATATTCCGCCATATTCCGTGATATTCCGCCATATTCCGTGATATTCCGCCATATTCCGTGATATTCCGGCATTCCGGGTTTTCACAACGCCCATTCATAACATATCTTATACAGCTATTTCAATTAAAGTTGTCACTGAGACAATAGTCAAATGTGCAATATGGGCGCTAAAAGGATGATGGGAATAATCATACTTTTAAATAAGTTTAGCATATCAGTAGCCTCGTGGGGATGCTTTTAGCGACAGCTGCAAATGCAAATGAAGTTTGAGAATATGCAAAATTTGGTTGTTGGTGAAACAATTTAAATTTCGAGTTCTCGCGTGTAGCATCACAATAAATAAATTGTATCAGTTCCACGAGGCACGACGTTTCTGATGTGTTAGTTCAAACGTCGCTACTCATGTGCCGAACGCATTAAAAACAATAGATAATGAGATGAAATGCTTTTGGTAACTGTTTATTTTGTAGTGTAAGCCATCAGCTTTTCTAGGTTGTCGGCGACCCTATATAGTTCTTGCAGTGTCTTTTTCAATTTGAAACTTCACACTATCCTTGGATCCCTAGTTTCCCGGATCCATATTTTTCAGGTAGATATATCATCTACAAAAGGTCACATTTCCTAACTAATTATGTATATTATTAAAAATTTACTTAAAATAGGTTGGAGGCTTCAAAACGATCCATTGCCAGCCTAACAGCAGAGAGCAAACAATTTAAGAAGAAGTTGTACAAGCTTCCACAGTCATGTGAGGTTTGTATTAGTTGCTGTTCTCTTCATAGTGTACACTAGGTGGCAAACTTTGAAATTATGTCTGATCAATCGGATGATTCTGTGTCCACATCAGCTAGCTCGGTGATAGGTAAGACAAAATGCGGAACCTATCAATGTGATGTTTGCAAGAAGAAATTTTCAAATTCACAATTAAAAATCCATAAAAGAATACATTCTGGAGAAAGACCTTATGAATGTGATGTATGCCAGAAAACATTTTCATATAAAAACAGCTTAAAACTACATAAACGAACACACGCTGGTGAAAAACCTCATGAATGTGACGTGTGCAAGAAGAGGTTTTCAGTAATGGCACAGCTAATTTGCCATAAAAGATTACACACTGGAGAAAAACCTTATAAATGTGATGTTTGCCAGAAATCATTTGCACAACAAGGCTATTTAATACTACATAAAACATTTCATACTGGAGAAAAGCCTTATGAATGTGATGTTTGTAAAAGGAGATTTGCACTATCAAAGACCTTAATAGTGCATAAAAGAAAACACACTGGAGAAAAACCTTACCAATGTGATCTTTGTGAGAAGAAATTTGCCTCAGGAAGTAATTTAATATCACACAAAAAAACACATTCGAAAGAGACACCTTATGCATGTGATGTTTGTGATAAGAGATTTTCCAGGTCAGATAGCTTAAAGCAACATAAAAGAACACACACTGGAGAAAGGCCCTATCAATGCGATGTTTGTCACAAACGGTTTGTGCAACAAAGAGTCTTACAAGTACATAAAAGAACACACTCCGGAATAAAGCCTTATGAATGCAATGTTTGCCAGAAAAGATTTGCACAATCAGGCACATTAGTAACCCACAAAGCAACACATACTAAAGAAAAACCTTATGAATGCGATGTTTGCAGAAAGAAATATTCTATATCAGCGCACTTATCAAGACACAAGATGACGCACACTGGAGTCAAACCATTTGCATGTGATGTTTGCCCAAAGAAGTTTCACAGATCTGATGGTTTAGCTGTACATAAAAAATCACACACAGGAGCCAAAAATTATGAATGTGATGCTTGCAAAAAAAGGTTTATCTTATCTGTACATCTACTAGAACACAAAAGAACACATACTGGGGAAAAGCCTTATGAATGTGGTGTTTGCGATTACAAGTGTTCTTCAGCAAGTTCTTTTACAAAACATAAAAGAACACACACTGGTGAAAAACCTTATGAATGTCATGTTTGCGAGTACAGATGTTCTACTTCAAGCGCATTAGTAGTGCATACGAGAACACATACTGGAGCCAAACCTTATGAATGTGATATTTGTCAGAAGAGATTTTCCATATCAAGTAGTTTAGCAGTGCATAAAAGAACACACACTGGCGAAAAACCTTATGAATGTGATGTTTGTAATTATAAATGCACTTCAGCAAGTTCTTTAATAGTACACAAAAGAACACATTCAGGTATTAAACCTTATGAATGCGATATTTGTAAGTACAGATGTTCTAGCTCTGGTTCTTTAGTATCACATAAAAGGAAACATACTGGAGAAAAAGCTTATGAATGTGATGTCTGTAAGAAGAGATTTTCGTCATCAAGTGCGCTTTCATCACATAAGAAAACACATAGTACAGATAAACAATATGAATGTGATGTTTGCACCAGAAAGTTTTCTTTATCACAACACTTAGCCAGACACAAAACAATACATGCACAGGAGAAGAAATATCAATGTGATGTTTGTATGAAGAAGTTTTCACAATCCAGATATTTGGCCCTCCATAAACGAATACACACCGGAGAAAAAGCATATGAATGTGTCGTTTGTGAGAAAAGATTTCACCAATCAAGCGGCTTAATAGCACATAAAAGAACACACACTGGGGAAAGACCGTATGAATGTGATATTTGCAAGAAAACATTTTCATCATCAAGTGGCTTAGCAAGGCACAAAAAGACACATGGTGGGGACAAATCTTTTGAGTGCGAGTTCTGTAAAATGAGATTTTTACTAAAGCAAACCCTTCGTAAGCACAAAAGAACACATTTGCCCTGCAGATCGTGCAGTCAAGAAATTACTCAGCCACGAGATTTGGAAGAATATTTAGTCACGGAGGAAGACAATAGAATGCATTACGATTGTAATAAATGCAACAAACAATTTTGTAGTTTCCAAAAAATTTTAAAACACCTTGCAAGAGAGCATGCTAATGATGTCATATGTGGTCAATGTCAAGAGCTGGATTCTGTATAACCAACTGCTGTTGGCTATGTTTGCTGTATATGTGATATGATGTATGATATTCCAAGCGAACTTAAAAATCACATGGATAGTCACAACAAAATATAAACACGGTTAAATAACTCCAGAACGAAGGATGTGTAATATAGATGCTGGCTCCATGTGAACAAACATTTTTCTATAACATTTTAATCTATTTTTAGTAGGTTTTATAAATATCTTAGTTTAATTAAGCCCTGATATGCATAATAAGTCTGTAAGGGGCTGTTTATACTTAACACACTTTGAGATCGATCTAAATTAGAGCTATCCCAAACCGATCCAAGTCCGGTTACCTTGGACGTCTTGTGGAGTGTCCACACAACCACATTTGCACTAAAACGTGTCGAATGCATTATCCGAATAACTGACGTTAATTAGCCGGGGGGGGGGGGG